ACCTATGCATGGGGGCAGGGGGGAGCACCTCCCCCTGTGCCCCATTTTTTGTTTCAGGAGGCTTCAGGGAGGCCTTCTAAGCCCAAAATGGGGTGTTGGGGACGCGTATGCACAGGGGGGGGGGGTCATGCACATATGTGCCTTGCATTGTGGGTGTGGGCATGTGCGTGCATGCTTTTGCACACAGACGCCCAATTTTGGCACACGAGGACGAAAAGGTTAGCCATTACTGGGATAGACATACCAAGCACCCCTAGCCATTCATCATACGGTTTAGTCTCCAGCCCCCTATTCCACTTTGTTGCTCTTCTCTGCACTCTTTCTAGAGCCTCGATATCTTTTTTGTATCATGATGGCCAAAACTGGAGACAGTATTCCAAAGTTGCTCTTACCAAAGCAGTATAAAATGGTACTAATATTTCATGTGATGTCGATACTATCCCTCCTTAGATGAGCCTAGGATTGCCTTGGGTATTTTGGCAGCTGGAGCACACTGCTGGCTCATATTTAAATGGTTGGCCACTAGGACTCCTAGATCCTCTTCACAGTTTCTGCTGTTGAGACAGGTACCACCTATCCGATGCCTATGCATTTGCGTTTTCTTGCCTAAGTGTGAAACCTTCCTTTATCACCACTAGCTTCTGTTTTCTTGGACGTGTAGTGTTCAAGTTTGTCAAGATTCCAGCGGGATACCAGGCAGTAGAGGTAGTCCTCAACTTATGACACTAATTGAGCTTGAAATTATGGTTATAAGTCATGCTGGTTGTTAAGATTATCATGTAGCCAATTTCACAATACTTTTTCGTGATGGTCATTAAGCAAACCCATTGTCTAAAAATGGGTGGTTTTTTTTGCCATAAATCAGAAGTAAATGCCATTTTTCAGCCCCCCCCCCAAAAGCTGTGTTGTAGTCATGTGACTTCAGGACACTGTAAATGGCCATAAAAATGGGCCAGTTGCTCAGCACCCAAAATCAGAACTTTGAATGTGGATGGGAAATACCTTTTTGGGGGATCCATTGTAACTTCGAACAATAGCTAAGCAACCAGTTATAAATCAAGGACTACCTTTATTCAAACAGCCATATAAAAACTCAATTAACCGAGATTAGTTATTTTCATCACAACAATGATAAACGCATTAGCCAAAACAATGATAAAATAAATGCATTAGCCTAGAGCAAAATGCAGAGATTGAATAAATTAAAAGAATTTTTAAAAGATATCTATAATTTATTCAAATTAAACTAAAACGTCTGGAACATAAATCTTAAAATCAGTTACTTTGACCCCTGTCTTCTTACTAAAAGAATATAAACTTACCAATAATGACACCAACTTCACATCGCTGGTCATCATATCCACAGGTCATCATGGTTCCCACTGTATCATTGACCAATGCCAAAACTTCTATATCAATGTCCTAATGGCACAAATACAACAGAACCTCCAATGGTTTTCAACAACTCTAATTTTTTTTTTAAGTAAGTAAGATTTATTCACGATATCATACAAGTTTGCTTTATACAATCAGTATTGTTATATTATTGGATGGAGCTGCAGGGTCACAGGTATTCCCAGAACATTGGTCACTGGTAACTACAGATAACCATAGGTCCGTAATTTCAACAATGGCAAAAAAAGTCAAATTAT